CTGCTAACAAGTGGTAGTGGAAGTAGGATGAGTGGAGTGAGGAAAATAAACGCCAAACGTCACCAACGTTTGATTAATATTAAACAGTGAGATACGATGATCATTATTGATTTCCAACAAAGAATAATTTTCTCTCTTCTTTTTTTGTTCTTCTTGAATTATGATAACAAAATCTGTGATATGTTCATTGCTGACATCTCCTTTTATATCAATACAGTCTCTATGATTCAACACTGTATCAACGCGTTTACCCATGATTTAGATGTTGATAATACATGCGATCATCAACTATAAATTGTACTTAACATTTACTTTTTTTTTCTCCAAATAGAGGGTACGAAAAGTGCTTTCTACAGTCAACATTTTTTGTCAGAATTATATTAATTTTGGCATACGTGACTCATTCCTCTGTACCTTTCAATACAAAATATAATACAATAAATCAAACCACAAGTATGTTACCATAAAAAAGTGCATTGAATTTATATATATGCATCAGCAATAAAAATTACTCATACGCGAAATGACACTTTTTTTTTTGATCTTAATAACCTTGACAAGTTATGACTACGCAGTTACGTATGTAGCTTCATTTTATCTGTCTGTTTATAATGTAAAACAGTTCTTGTAATCCATATTAAGTATTATTATTCTATTATCAATTGACTAAAACATTTCAATAGTATGAAAATCTCTTAACTTCTTATTAAGTTGTGTTGCTGTTAGCATAACATGAAAAACGCAGGTAACGCACAGACGTTTTTTTTTCAAATTCAGAAGCGTATATCTCGACAAATAATGGAGCTAGAGCAATGAAACTTTTAGCAAATATATATTCGACGGAGTTCTATTTGCCATAAAAATTTCAAGTTTCTATCTTTGTGCAATCGAGTTTTACACAAAAACTATTGGTCGGTAACGCACAGACAAAAAAGCCCCTCTTTTTCTGGGTGTATATAAGAGAAATGAAAACACGACGAGATACTCTGGGTTAATCAATTAAGTGAGAAATGGTTTTGTAGCTAACACTCCAGGCTATCTATTGATTAAAAGAAAACGTCGATACATTGAAATATGCGCGAGTTATAGACAAACCATCAAGTAACGCACAGACACTTTTCTTCAAGAGACAAAGTTGCAGTCGGATATATTGATTTGGAATATCAAAATAATGATGTTGATTCGTATTTCGAACTGCCACCAGTGTTGTTATGTTAGAAATGTTTTTAGGTTTGTTTAAGCCAAAAGAGTGTTCGAAATGTTTAAGCAGAAAAAAGAGCTCTTTTAAGTCATTTTTATATGAAAACTGTAGATTTTGACTGGCAACTATGATTTTTTATCTTGATCTTGAACGGAAAATGATGTAGATCAACGCAGAATGTATGAAAACCTACATAAAAATTTGGAATGAGTAGGATCAGTTGTTTTGTATCGGAGAATTTGGGTCGTCAACTTTAGTCACGCCGGTTGACCATCAGCCGTTTCTGCTGATAAGAAGAAATGCATACTGAACATGATTTGCGTATGAGAAAAAAAAAAAGAACACAAAACAATATATTAATGATATTGTAATCATTCGTTAGTGTTCAGAATTTTTCATTCCATTGATTCTAATGAAAACAGGAGAACAAACCATCAATCATAAAACCATTGTGTGTGTATATGAATACAAATCACTCCTAGATGGACGAATTATTATACCAACTGTTAAAACATACTCTTGATACAAATTATAGAGTGTAGATAATACTGTAATAGAAATATATACTTAGGGTTAATCAAAAGTTTGATTGCCGTGTTTAAAATTTTTCTAAAATAGTTAATATCGAAAGTTTTATTGCATGAATATCTCGTCTATAATAAACTCTATCTTGGATTTAATTCTACGTAATGCCACATCCTTTATATTCACCAGAATTTGCATCATGTGATTTTTAGCTAAATGATGATATCAAGAGCAATTGTTAGCTCAGGAATTTTTCAAGATAGTGAAAAATATTTCAGAAAAAAGAATTTAAGAAAAGAAATTTCCGACAAATTGTTGGAAAGAATGAAACTTTGTATAAATAATAATGATGATTATTTTCAACATTTAATAAAATAAAACTAAAAATATTTCTTTCGTTTTGTAGTTTTATTTGATTTTTATTAGAACTTTTGCTTAGCCTCAAGTAAAAGATAAAGTTGTTATTAACATTATTGTAGACAAGGCATTCTAATATGTTGTATTCATACACTAAAACTTTCGATATTAACTATTTTACAGAATTTTAAACACAGTGATCAGAACTTTTAGTTAACCTAAATAGAATCCTTTTCATTTTTCTCTGAGGTCATTAATGTTGATTTTTCATTTCAAGTCAAAAGTACACAAGCGAGTCATATACACGAAACATAAGCGCAAAGTATGAGTTGTATTTGAAATTTGATTTAGTTTATATCTTTAATAGACTTTCTTTTTTTTGTAATAAGAAATTGCAAAATAAATATTAAATGTTTCATATATTATGAGATCAGATAGAGAAATTTATTACAAGTTAAACAAACACAAAAAAACCAATAATGAACACTACAATCTGGAAGATAAATTTGAAATATTTTAATTTATTTAATTGTATCACATTAAACATGCAATATAAAATCAGTTTGAAAATGTCATTATTCTGTTCAAATTTGATTGTTATTCCTTCTCATTTTTATTGTTAGAATCTTTGTTATGTATTTGGGTAATAGTATCCATTTGCATTAAATAGAATGGAATGTCCGGCTTGCGATGTTCTTTAATAATTGCTTCTTCCCATTCCGAGCAAATTAAATCATTGTGTTGTTGTTCTTGCGAATGTAACTTTTTTTGTATGCTATT